ATCCACATTATTCACCAGATCTGGCAGTGTGACTTCCGGTTCTTCACTAGTTATGAAGACCATGAAAGACAAACACTTTGAATTGATTCAGGACATCAAGGCAGCCACAACAGTGCAACTAAACATACAAAAGAGGACTTCCAGAACTACTTCAGAGTGGCAAGAACAGTGGGATGAATGTGTTTGAAGTGGAGTATTTTGAATGAGATCAATGGCAACGTGTCTCTCCCTGTAATTTTTTTTTTTTAATGTGTTTGGTACAGGGTTTCACTATGGAGCTCAAACTCATAGCGATCCTCCTGTTTCAGCCTCCCTAGCGCTGGTGTTACAGGTGTGCCCCACCATGCCCGATCTTGGTGGTTGGTTCAGCATGCACAGGGCTGGGCTGGCATGGCATGTGGCACCAGGGATTGAACCTGGATCCTTGTGCTTGCATAGGTAGGCATTTAGACGGCTGAGCTATCTCCATGACCCTGTAATAATTTTTTAAAATATAAATTCACTGTATTTTTTTGGTCACACTTCATGTACCAAAAGAATGTTTATCTGAATTCAAATTTAGCTGATTGTATTGTATTTTCTCTGAAAACATTGTATGAAAAAGCACTCTGTTCTACAAGAGGTAACCTAAACATTACAATGGAGGGTTGGAAACTTCTCCAGAAAGGAAAAATTGAACCAAGATATGAAGAATGTAGGGAGTTAATAGACTGGACGGAGACTAGGGCAGGTGGATGAAGGCTGACATTTGGGGGCTGCAGGTAGGGAAGTGGCTAACAGAGTATGCAAAATGAGGCCACGGCAGTGACCAAGGGCTTGCAAATCATGCTATGGCCTCAATCCTTACCCCTCTGGAGTAACTCACAACTAAAATGTTTCCTCTGTCTGTGTCTTTCTCTTCTTTGATAAAATCTACAGGACACTTTTCCTACCTTACCTTCCTACATTTATCAAAAAAGCTAGTTGTCTTTAAATTTATCTTCCAGCTAGAATATGATTCTTCCACTTAATATTTAATAGAAAACATAGCTTAGAAAGTTCACATGTTCTGGATCTTACAGTGCTGTCTAATTCAGGTACCACTGCCAGGGCGGCCCCTGAAGATAACATCCAACTTGCTTGGAAGAGTTTGGTAAAGGGCACCTTCTGGGACCAAACAAGGAACAAAGGTATAGGATGGGGCTGTGCACAAGACTGGCACATATAATACACATAATGGAGAGCCACTAGTTTATTCTGTTCTAGGATACTACTTCGTAGGATTCTCAAGTAGTAGTATATGACAAGGGAAAGCTCTTGTTCTGATTTGTCATAAATCTTTTTGTGCTCTTGCAAAGTCAGAGGTCCCAAGGTTGTCAGAAGGCTGAAGGCTATCATCCCTACCCGTCTAACCAACCACATTACATACTGTTTACTGGGAAGAAATAGAGCAAGTCTGTTGTGCTTTAGCCAACAGAAAACATTTACAATATTGTGCAAAATTGACCTATTGGGTTTCACAGTATGCTGAAATCATTATTTTCAGGGTTGGCCTTTTAAAAATGTTTTAATTCATAACGTCTAAAAGCACAGGAAAATTTCAAGCTTCAAAAACTGGTTTAATTAGAATTTATATTATTCACAATATAAATGACACAATATAAAATCTAACAGGTCATTTACAAAAACAAAGCCTGCAGCTCCATAGAAAATTTCAATATGAGTTAATGAAAACTACCTCTTGCACATATAAGCGTAGTTCGGGTTTAAAATATAACTCATTATATATTTTTCTCTTTTCAGAAGTCAAAGAATACTAGAACGGGAAATGACCAAGCCATCCAATCCACCCCATTCCAAACTTGTCACAACAGTGGAAGCCATGTGACACAATAACTGCTGACCAGCCTGGCATCCAAGACTGCTTGCGATCAAATTAAATGGTGTCTGTGTATCCTATAAAGACGCACTTTTAGAAAGAGTTAAGTAGTAACTCCACCCCACTGTCATACTTAGCTGTCTCAAGCAAAGAAGCTCCTAATTCAGTCTACTTCAACATTTCACACTAGTTGCTCAACTGGGAAGAGATTAAAGAGAGCAAAACACAAAGAAAAGCATCTAGCAGTGTGTACAGAAGGACATGTAGCTCAGGAGCTGCCTTTCATAGGCTTACAAACAGACCTCAATGTTGACTTCCGGCCCTGTGCCTAATGACACGTGTGGTTTGAACCCCAGTCTGACAGAAGCCTCAGCAAGACAGAACCAAGAAGACCTCTGGGGCACTGCAGCTCCCGGGTAGAGCCGCTCAGACTGAAAATGGCGTTTTGGCTTTCACGACCACAGAAATTTACCTTGAGGAATGGGAAGAGGAATAGCAGCAGGAAGAGCTAGTTAAGAGGATCCTTGACAAGTCAGGTTTTTAAATGCATAAAACATATCATCTTGTTTGAGAATAAGCTAATATTTCCAATTATAAGAAATGGATTTTTTGGTACTTGCTATCACAAGATAGCACATGAAGCCCTTTCCCTCGTCTGCTTGAGGCTGGGAATTACATCCCATTCTCTTCCACAGTTAAAGACTATGATAGGGATAATAAGCAGAATTTTTACTTAAAAGCTCTTAGGCTAGTCTGTTGCTCAGACCAGAGAAGCTTTTTTCATTGTCAATGAGTCATGAAAAATAAATTTGATTTCTCCACTACATCACCAAAAACACTCAGATGTGATCCAGAGCTTTTTTTTTTTTTTTTTTTTTTCCTCCAGACATCAGCTAATGACATTTAACGTTATATTAGTGTCAGGAAAAGTCTGCCGTCTGCATTTGTTGACACTGACCATTAAAGGGGAAGCCATACTTTTTAAAGGTGAAATTGTTTTCTTGTGCCTTAAAGGGATCTGTTTCATGATATTTTCCATTCATGCAGACTGTCCTCTGCACAATTCTGAGGCAAACAAGGGCTGGAAAGGGATTTTTTTTTTCCAAGTGTTTCAGTGGTGGAGGATGGACAGGAGGGGGAATTTGCTCAGGGCGGCATAACAACGTATCTGAGGACCTGGGACACACGATCTTCATCTCCTGGTTCCTTGCTAGCTGCCTTTCTCCCGCCCTCCATCGCTACCTCACCCCTTGGCACTCCTCTGCTGCAGACTACAGATCGGGGCTCACTCAGTGAAACCAATAGAAAAGCCTTTGTCGTTGATTTTCCAGAAAGTAGCTTTAAAAAGAAGCATGCAAGATGGATCGGGTTCATTGTTCCATCAGCGAATGCCGATTGGTAACGGTTTAACAGGCGTCTATGTTATAAAAGACGCTGCGGCTCTCTTTTCTAAGTCACTCTCAAGCGATTTAGAGGCCTCCAGTCCAAAATCCTGGAGAATAGTGAAGAAATGGGCTGTCGCTACAGAATCTGACCAACCTCAGCGCTGGAGCGTTCACATGAAAACTTGCCAGGAGCACGACGTCTCTTGGAAGTTGCTATTGAAAAACGCGTGGATTCCGGAGAGATCAACGCGCCTTTCTCCTCCTGGATTGAGAAGAATTAAACTGAAACTACTTTTTCGCGCTGCCAATCAATTATGTAGGAAGGGGGCGAGTCCAAAGAGAAAAGATCAGCGGGGCATCCCTGTCCTGGAGCCCCGTAAGACGCCGGTCTGTAGTGTCCCCCGGGGAGCGCCCGCTCCCTGCGGCGCCCTCCCGGCACTGCGGCACTGCGGAGTCGCCAGCTCGCCCGCCTGCAGCAGCCTGGGCCCGCGGGGCTTTCCTGGCCGCCGTCGCAGCCCGCCCTTCCTTGCGCCCGCCGCCCCGGGTCCCCGCCGTCGGCCGGGCCATCCATCACCCGAGTGCCTCTGACGCACGCGCCCCCGCGCCCAGACGGAGCCCCGCGTTAGCCCTCCCCACTCCCGCCCCTGGCGGGGCTGCGTTTGCATCAATCGCGCGTGTAGCGGGTGACGCGAGCGCCCCCCGCCCAGCCGTCCAGGCTGCACCTTCAGTTCGGGTGACTCAGCTCCTCCTCCTCCGCCGCCCCCGCGCGCGGCACCCCGGTCCCCGCATGCCCACGCAAACGCTCCGGATTGCGCGTCCGCGGCGGGGTGCAGGCTGCTCCGGGCCGGGTAAATCCCCTTATTCCGCGGCTCCCCAGAGTCCAGCCAGAGTCGTCCCCACGACGCACAGGAGGAAAGTGTACCCGCGACCCGAGCCCTGGACAGCGTGGGGAAGACCGCGCGGAGCAAGGCTAGCTTTCTGCCTCCACGACCCGCCGCGGTTCCCCAGTAGTTTATCTTCCAGGGTGGAGGTCCGTGTTCCCCGCTGATCCACACACGCCTCGGTTTCCTTCGCCCCCGCGCTCGGCAGGGGTCCAGCCGGCGCTGGCGGAGGGCGGGCGAGGTGCGGCGAAGCGCAGACTCCTGGAAAGAGCGCGGCCCCGGGGATTCCCGTCTCTCCCGTCTCTGAGACCCGTGCTTTGGGGATTTACATGCAAGAGTTTTTAAATTCACGTGTTTCTTTGCGAGTCCCGCAGCACCCGATGCGGCTGCTCTCCCCTCCAGCCATCCGCACGTCTGCAGAGGGGTCCCCGCCGTAAAGTTGAGCCTACGGCTGCGGCCCGCGTTCAGGTCCCGCGCCCCACCCGAGGTCTGCGCTGCTGATGTGGAATCCGCGTTCCCTTGCTCGGTGAACCCCCAGCCCCAGTAAAGAAATGGGGAAGCCCTGCAGATGCAGCCCCCGCGTGTCCCAGGAATCCTAGCTGGTGCGCCCTCGTTTTCGTGCCTGCCCTCAGGGAACCGGGGGCTCTTCCAACTGCTTTACCCCCGATTTTCTGGCTTCCACCCTCTGGCAGCCCCAAGCACCTGCAGCTGCTTTCCCCGGGCCAAGCCAGGCGAAGTTGCTCTTCTGCCAGGCTGCAAAAGTTCCCCAGCTGCAGCGCCCAGTCTTTGCGTCCGGAAGGCAAATCTAGCGGAGCGCAGAGCCTCGCCGCCGCCGCCGCCCCCCTCACTCAACCCAGCCGGGGACCCCTAACTCACCGCTCCAGCTGCTGGGGACTCCTCGCCCCCAGAGGTGTCAGCCGCTGGGCGCCGTTCCGACTCCCTTCTCCCGGCCGCTTCCGTCTGCCACTCTCTCCTGCGGCGCACGCAGTGGTGACTCCTCCGAGCGTGTCAGCGGCAAGAGGAGGGGCGGGAAAGTGGCTCCGGGCTCGCTCGCTGCGGGCCTCCGCCTCCGCCGGCGCCGCCTGCCTCCTCCCCCTGTGCTGCAGTGCCGGGCGCGGCGTGGCGAGAGTACAAGCGCTGCGCTAGAGGGAGTCACTGCGTGCGGGGGTGGAGGGCGCCCAGGCCCGGCTGCTGGCAAGGAAAGGGGGATGGCAGGGCCACCTCCGAGTGGCTGTAATTTTGGGGAAGGCAGGGCTGGGAGTTTGTAGAGGGACGCCAGTCTTACACTGAGTGTGACTGTGCGTGGCGCACATCGCGGCGCAGGTGATGGTCCTGCGGACGCGAGGCAATCTTGTCACCACTTTCTGGACTTGATTTACTCGTTAACTTTTT